GGGAACCACAAGGCCGGGAGTGAGTCGCCGGTCCAAAGACCCAAAAAACCGGCGCTCCCCGCCTGAGGCTCCCCGTGCACTTGGGGCCCACCCTCCGAGAGCCAGCAGGCAGGAAGCTAGCCAGCCAGAAGGCTGGCGCTCCAACTTTTTCCCATTTCATGGGTTTTCTTTTCACTCTGTTTCTGATTTCTTTTGATGTACAAAAACTTTTTAATAAGATGAGATCCCAGTGGTTGATTCTTTGAAGAATTTTGAATGCAATTTGGTTCTTGTTAATGAATGCTATGCCTACCCCTATGTCTTCAAGATTTCTACCTACTTCCTCTTCCTTTAGATTTAGTGTTTCTGTTTTAATATTTAGATCTTTAATCCATTTTTACTTTATTTATTTATTTTTTTCAATTTTTACTTTAGTGCATGGTGATAGACATGGATCTAGTTTTAGTTTTCAGCATGTGGAAAACCAGTTTTCCCAGCACCACTTATTATCTTTCTTATCACCTTGTCTGAAATTCTGCATTGCTTTTATTGTTTAGGTGTTGTTTTGTTTATGTCTGTTTGTTTGTTAATGTGTTTTCATTGTCTTTACAATAAAAAAATAAAGAAGCTATCTTTCTTCCAGTGAACATGTTCAGCCTCTTTGTCAAAGATAAGGTGGCTGGGTATGTCTGTAGTCTGGTCTGCATCTTCTAATCTGTTCTGGTGATTTTCAGGTCTGTTGGTTTTTTTCTTGCCAGTTCTATGCTGATTTTATCACAATAACTTTGTAGTATAATTTTAAGTTAGGGATTGTGCTGCCTCCTGCCTTGTCTTTGTTGACCAGGATTGCTTTTGCTATTATAGGTCTTTTCTAGGTCCAAATGAATTTTAGGAACGTTTTCTTTATGTCTATGAACTATGCCAATGGTATTTTGGTTTGGATTGCATTATATCTGTTTAACAGTTTTGGGCTTATGGGCATTTTCACAATGTTGATTCTTCCTATCCATAAACAAGGAATGTCTTTCCATTTTAGGAAATCCTCTTCAATTTCCTTTTGCAGAGTACTGTAATTTCCACTGTATAGATTTTTTTACTTCCTTTGTTAGATTGGTTCCTAAGTATTTCATTTCTTTGAATGATATTGTGAAGGGTATGGTTTCTTTCTTTCTTTTTTTTTTTTTTTTTTTTTGTTTTTTTCCCGGTACTGGGAATTGAACTCACAACCTCGTGCTTGCCAGGCAGGCATTGTGCTGCTGAGCTAAATCCCCAGCCTCAAGGGTGTGGTTTCAATAAGTTATCTCTCAGTGAGTTTGTTTTTTGTGTTCAGGAATGTTATTGATTTCTGAATGTTGACTTTATATCCTCCTATGCTACTGAATTTGGTTATTAAATGTAGAAATCTTTTGGTGGAGTTTTTGGTATCTTCTATGTACAGTATCATGTTATCAGCAGATAATGGTAATTTAAGTTCTTCCTTTCCTTATTCTTTTTATTTCTTTCTCTTATCTAATTGCTCTGTTTAATGTTTCCAGAACTATACTGAATAGGAGTGGTGATAATGGATATTCTTGTTTTGTGCCTGATTTTAGAATGAAAGCTTTCAGTTTTTTTTTCTGTTTTTTTTTTTTCCGGTACCGGAAATTGAACTCAAGACCTTGCGCTTGCTAGGCAGGTGCTGTGCCGCTGAGCTAAATCCCCAGCCCGAAAGCTTTCAGTTTTGTCCATTCAATATGATGTTGGCTGTTGGTTTGTCATAGATGGTTTTTATCAGTTTGAGGTAGAGACCATCTATTCTGATATCTAAGGGTTTTTATCATGAACAAGTGTTAGACCTTGTCAAAAGCTTTTCCTGAATCTATTGAGATGATCATGTGGTTTTTGTTTTTGGCTCTATTGATATGTTGTGTATTACATTTATTGATTTGCATATATTGAAACATCCTTGCATCCCTGGGGTAAATCGTACTTGGTCATGGTGTATAATCTTTGTGATTTGCTACATTCTGTCTGCTGGTATTTTATTGAGTATTTTTGCATCTATGTTCATTAAAGAGATTGACCCGTAGTTCTCTTTTTTGGTTGAGTTTTTCCCTGGTTTTGGTATCAGTATAATACTTGCCTCCAGAATTGAGTTAGGGAGTATTGCTTTCCTTTGAATTTCATTAAACAGTTTAAGAAGAATTGGCATTAAATCTCCAAATATCTTGGAGAATTCAGCTGTGAATCCATTAAGACCTGGGCTTTTTCTGTTGGTAAGTTTTTAATTACATTTTTGTTTTCATTGTCTCATTTTAGTTATTCAGAATTTTTATATCTTTTTGATTCAGTTTGTAATTCATATGTGTCTAGGAATGCGTCCATTTCTTCTGCATTCTCTATCCCATGAGAGTGAAATTTTTTGAGTGGGCATTGAGGATCTTCTGAATTTCCTTACGATCTACAGTGATTTCACCTTTTTGATTTCTTATTGCATGGATTTGAGTTTTTTCTTTCCTTTTTTTGATAAGGTTGGCTAGGGGTTTTTCAATTTTATTTCTTCCTTCAAAGGAGAAACTCTTTGATTAGTTAATTCTTTGTATTGTTTTCTTCATCTCAATTGCATTAATTTCTGCTCTGATCTTCATAATTTTCATGTTTTGTTTTGTTTTTTGTCATTCTGAGACAGGGTCTTGCTTAGATCAAGTGGTGCTGAAGGACTGGTAAAGCACATCTCTGGATATGCCTCTGAGCATGTTTCCACAGAGGATTGGTATGTAAATCAGCAAACTGAGAGGAAAAGACCCACCCTGAGCAAGGGTAATATCATCCAGTCAACTGGGGTCCAGAAGGAATAAGGATAAGGATAAGGGTGAAATCAGATCTCACTGGCTCTTGACCCATCTTCAGTAGGTGAATTTTTTTGCTGCTGTCCCCTTTGGATCCCACATTCTCCAGCCTTTGCAGACCTGGACCAAGAGTTATTCATGGGGATTTCAAACCTTCAGCCTCAGACTATGAATGTATCACTAGCCTGCCTTCATTCTGAGGCTTTCTAGATACTTGGACTGAGAGCTAATTGTTTCCTTGGCTTTCCAGCCTACAGATTGCTAGTATAAGACTATTCAGCTTCTGACTGTATAAATCAATCTGATAGACCTCCCCTCATAATTATCTATCCTATCCTATCCTATCCTATCCTATCCTATCCTATCCTATCCTATCCTATCCTATCCTATTCTATTCTATTCTATTCTATTCTATTCTATTCTTTCTGTCTCTGGGGGAAATCTGATCAATAAGATGACACAGACACTTGGACAGGTGAGTACTTACACGGTATTATTAAGCAGTATGAAGCAGGACTGAAATTTAAACCTGAGTCATTGTGACATATGAACCTGAAGATTTTGTAAATATGTCTCTAGACTGTTTCCCTGGTTTACATTTTGGGTGCTGAACACAAAGAAAGAATAAAAGATGATGTTGCTTAACCTTTATTCAATGATGTACAAGATAGCACAACTGAAAGCAATGTAAGATACAAAATATATTGCATTTATTTTGCTATAATTATTTGAGTGTTAGGATATTATTTATTTTTGATGAATAAAGTCATCAAAAATGAATAATATGAATTAAATTATGAAGAAAGAAGAGTTAATAATGTCCAGCAAAATGTCACGTGGAATTTTATATTGGAATGGAATTTGACTCTTCTGCAGCATTTTCTCCTTGTTTTCCACTGTGACACAGAGACCTGGAGGTGCTACAAGTCCTAAGATGCATTTGAGGCTGCACTTTTATTTTTTTATATACTAACCCATAACCAGCAATTCTCAGAAAATAGCAGACTCAGGTTAGTGGTAGGGTGGTTGCTAGGAAGTTTGGTAAATGATAGAATAAAGATGGTATGCTGATGTATATAGTATTTATAAATAAAGCTTTGCAGAA